GGTTATGGTGGTGGTGATGGTTATGGTGGTGGTGATGGTTATGGTGGTGGTGATGGTTATGGTGGTGGTGATGGTTATGGTGGTGGTGATGGTTATGGTGATGGTTATGGTGGTGGTGATGGTTAGGGTGATGGTTATGGTGTTGTTGGTGGTGATGGTGGTGGTGATGGTGTTGGTGGTGGTGATGGTTATGGTGGTGGTGATGGTTATGGTGGTGGTGATGGTTATGGTGGTGGTGATGGTTATGGTGGTGGTGATGGTTATGGTGATGGTTATGGTGTTGGTTATGGTGGTGGTGATGGTTATGGTGGTGGTGATGGTTATGGTGTTGGTGGTGGTGATGGTTATGGTGATGGTTATGGTGTTGGTGATGGTGATGGTTATGGTGTTGGTGGTGGTGATGGTTATGGTGTTGGTGATGGTTATGGTGTTGGTGGTGGTGATGGTTATGGTGGTGGTGATGGTTATGGTGGTGGTGATGGTTATGGTGGTGGTGATGGTTATGGTGGTGGTTATGGTGGTGGTGATGGTTATGGTGGTGGTGATGGTTATGGTGGTGGTGATGGTGATGGTGGTGGTGATGGTGGTGGTGATGGTTATGGTGGTGGTGATGGTTATGGTGGTGGTGATGGTTATGGTGGTGGTGATGGTTACGGTGATGGTTATGATGGTGGTGATGGTTATGGTGATGGTTATGGTGGTGGTGATGGTTATGGTGATGGTTATGGTGTTGGTGGTGGTGATGGTTATGGTGGTGGTGATGGTTATGGTGATGGTTATGGTGTTGGTGATGGTTATGGTGTTGGTGGTGGTGATGGTGGTGGTGATGGTTATGGTGGTGGTGATGGTGTTGGTGATGGTTATGGTGTTGGTGGTGGTGATGGTGGTGGTGATGGTTATGGTGTTGGTGATGGTTATGGTGTTGGTGGTGGTGATGGTTATGGTGTTGGTTATGGTGGTGGTGATGGTTATGGTGTTGGTTATGGTGGTGGTGATGGTTATGGTGTTGGTGATGGTTATGGTGTTGGTGATGGTTATGGTGGTGGTGATGGTGATGGTGGTGGTGATGGTGGTGGTGATGGTTATGGTGGTGGTGATGGTTATGGTGGTGGTTATGGTGGTGGTGATGGTTATGGTGGTGGTGATGGTTATGGTGGTGGTGATGGTGATGGTGGTGGTGATGGTGGTGGTGATGGTTATGGTGGTGGTGATGGTTATGGTGGTGGTGATGGTTATGGTGGTGGTGATGGTTACGGTGATGGTTATGATGGTGGTGATGGTTATGGTGATGGTTATGGTGGTGGTGATGGTTATGGTGATGGTTATGGTGTTGGTGGTGGTGATGGTTATGGTGGTGGTGATGGTTATGGTGATGGTTATGGTGTTGGTGATGGTTATGGTGTTGGTGGTGGTGATGGTGGTGGTGATGGTTATGGTGGTGGTGATGGTGTTGGTGATGGTTATGGTGTTGGTGGTGGTGATGGTGGTGGTGATGGTTATGGTGTTGGTGATGGTTATGGTGTTGGTGGTGGTGATGGTTATGGTGTTGGTTATGGTGGTGGTGATGGTTATGGTGTTGGTTATGGTGGTGGTGATGGTTATGGTGTTGGTGATGGTTATGGTGTTGGTGATGGTTATGGTGGTGGTGATGGTGATGGTGGTGGTGATGGTGATGGTTATGGTGTTGGTGATGGTTATGGTGATGGTTATGGTGGTGGTGATGGTTATGGTGATGGTTATGGTGGTGGTGATGGTTATGGTGATGGTGGTGGTGATGCACTTAGCCTGGTACAAGCACTGTGGTGACGACGATGTTCAATAGTTACCGGAATTCGCCCGTGCAGAATTGCCTGCAACACACAGACACAGACAAAGATCCCCCATATAGCCTTAACAGACTGTTGGGGCAAGTGCTGTTAGCGAGCACCTATGAAGGCCGGAACGGTACACGAGGGGGTGGGTGGCCAGCACCACGCCCGACCGCCTTTGTCTCCCCAGTGGCGATGTTTACACACCACTACACCAGGTACTCATTTGAGGCTGAGTCGACCTAGGGGAGGCCCGGGACCGGTTCAGATAATCGTCACTGATGTTGGCCGTGAGCGGGAATCGAACCCGGGTCGCCAGGTTCATAGCGCAGCATAGCGCTAACCACTACACTACCGCTCCCCACACATAGACACATAGACTAACATACACACACACAGACACACACACAGACACACACACAGACACACACACAGACACACACACACACACACATAGACACACATAGACATAGACACACACATAGACAGACACAACAACAACCGCCATTCGCCACTAAGTGGCGGTGACGTCACCACGACGCTTGTGCCAGGCTATGTGCACCTTGAGGCCACGTGAAGTGTCGAACGCCCGCTGGCAGGAGGTCACGGGGCAGACCCAGCAGGTGCCACGGGTCGACTGACTGAGATGACTGGCTGATGCACCACCTGTGCCCCCTACTGTGCCAACCTGCTGTGCTTTAGCCACCCGGCGCTCCGCTCGTTGTTCTGAGCGTCGCTCCTCCGCCCTCTGTTGTTGTTGGAGGGCGACTGCCTCCAACTGCCCAGTAGCAGCGTCCTTCACGAGCCTCCTCCACAGAGGCCGATCTTGACACCGCTGGTACCAGTCATCGGCAAGTCCACTCAGCACCACGTCCTCCTGTACCACATCACTCCATCTCTTCTCTAGCCCGTGCCACGCCCGTTTAGCCCCTCGATCCGGCCGAACAAAAGCTGTTTCGGCATGCGGTGGCTGGGCATGCGGGCTACATGACCCAGCCATCGCAGCCTTGCCTGCCGGAGGAGCTCACTGATGGGACCTTGCCCAGATCTTTAAAGGATTTGTGAGCTCCTCACACAATCCAGTCTGGTTAAACCCAGGATGGATCGTAGGCAGGCCAGCCTAAATGTTTCTAACCGGCGAAGATGTTCCATTAGGGGGGTCCACGTTTCGCAAGCGTAGAGAAGGGAGGGAATGACCGTGGCCGAGAAGACCTGAAGCTTAGTGCGGAGCGGCAGACCAGGTAGCTTCCACACAGCGTTACGCAACCGATGAAAAGATATTGCCGCTCGACTGATTCTGAGTGAGACCTCTGCTGTCAAACCGGAGCCGGTCATGGGCACACTTGCCCAGGTATGGGAAACTCTCCACTCTCTCCACAACTGCCCCATCACCGATTGGGAGTTGTGGGGGTGGAGTGTCCGATGGTACAAAATACCCAGGCAGGTGCTTAGTTTTGGTGGGGCTGATGGTAGGCCCCATCTCTTAGTGGCACGCTCCAGTCTCAGCAGCAGCGTCTCCAACTCCTCCTCTGAATGAGCAGCTATTACCAAATCATCAGCATACATAACGTGGTTGAGCAATAGGGAGCCATCCCTTCACCGCACCTGGGCATCGATCAGCCTCCCATTATATCTGTACCATATGGAGATTCCCCCGGTACAGCTATTGAAGGCTTCACGAACTACGTGGTCAAAATAGATGTTAAATAATGTGGGAGCCAGAGGACATCCCTGTCGCACCCCAAGGTGTACAGGGAATGGCTCTGACTCCCGGCCACGTAGTTTTACCCGGGCCCGCTCACCATCATGAAGGTCCTTAATGATCGTGAGCAGAGGGTCAGGTACTCCAAAAGCACGAAGAACAACCCAGAGCCCAGGCCTACTGATGGTATCATAGGCCTTGACCAGGTCAATAAAGCAAAGATGTAGGTCTTGTTGGAATTCCCTACACCTCTGCTGTAGCAGACGGACAGAAAAATATGGCATCTGTGCAGGACCGCCCTTTCCTGAAACCGAATTGGGGCTCCGCAAGCCTCTCCTCAGCGTGCCTGGCAAGGCGATGTTGAATAATCCTTGCCAGGACCTTTCCCGGCACACTGAGGAGTGAGATGCCCCTGTAGTTGTTACAGTCTGTGCGGTCCCCCTTCTTAAAAAGGGGGACCACCAGGGCATCCTTCCAATCCTGCGGAACCCATCAGTGGTCCAGAGTGTTGTTATGATGTCATATAGGGCAGTCTGTGCACAAACGCCACCCTCCCTCAGCATATCGCTTGGGAGATCATCTCTGCCCGCTGCCTTTCCTGGTCTCAGACTCCGGATTGCCTTCAGTACTTCCTCAAGAGATGGCACCTCAGCCAGCCACTCACAGGGGGTGACTTCCTCCTCCAATATTTGAGGCACCGCAGCCTCAGCAGGGTCATCCCACTTTGTGCCACGATGTTTTCCTGGCTAAGAGATTTCCCCTCCCCCAGGACCTCACAGAAATGCTCAGCAAATCTGCAAACCTGTTCCTGGGGGTCGGAGATTGGATCACCGTTTTTTCCCCTAATGATGGTAATAGGTGTGGCGCTGCAGGTTACTTTTTGATGGAGTTAAATAGAGATTTGTGATCACGGGCCACTGAGGCAGACTCCATCTCCTCAGCAACCCGCGACCACCACCCATCCTTGCAGCGCCTCACGGCTCTCCGAACCTCCGAGCGAAGGCTGCGGTAAGCCTCCTCATTCTCTGACGTGGGATTCTGTAGCCGATGACAGTGGGCCTGTCGCTTTTTCTGAGCCATCCTGAACACCTCCTCTGTCAGCCAGGGTCTCTGGGGAGGTCTGGACCGCGTACCCAAAGCAGCCATTGCAGCTGCATGAGTCACAGTCCTAAACCTCGCCCATTTACCCTCGACATCAGGATGAGTCGGGGACGATGCCAATCCCAGCCGCAAGCGATGATGAAATTCTCGCTTGCAACTTTCATCAGATAACTGAGACCACGGCCACTTTAGGTTGGAAATGGGGTCCTGGGTGTACACCCACCACCGGAGTGGAAGAATGGCAGGCGCATCTTACAGATGACTAGTCGATGGTCAGAGGGCAGATCAGCTCCACGGTAGGTCCTGGTGTCAAGGACATGGGCTCGCATCCGCTGGTCCGTCACTATGTAGTCCAGCAGATGTTCTTGCTTGGACCCGGCATGCATCCATGATGTTGTGTGGATGCGCCGATGCCGGAACAGCGTGTTGGTAATTACAAGCCCATGGGCTGCACAAAAATCTAGCAGCCTCCTACCGTTGTTATTGAGCTGATCTGGCCCATGCCCTCCAATCACTCCAGACCAGGTTCCAGCATCATGACACAGACACACACACAGATACACACACAGACACACACACACAGTCACACACACACAGATACACACACAGACACACACACACAGACACACACACAGACACACACAGACACACACACACAGACACACACACACAGACACACACACAGAGACACACAGACACACACACACAGACACACACACACAGACACACACACAGAGACACACAGACACACACACACACAGACACACACACAGGAAGACGTTATCATCACCAACACCACCACCAGCACCACCACCAGCACCACAGCTACACCATCACCACCACCACCACCACCAGCACCACCACCAGCACCACCAGCTACACCATCACCACCACCAGCTACAACCATCACCACCAGCACCACCACCACCATCACCACCATCACCAGCTACACCATCACCACCACCATCACCAGCACCACCACCACCATCACCACCAGCACCACCACCACCACCAGCTACACCACGTGGTGTTGTGGATGTACTGGGCCCCGCCAGCCTACTGTGGAATCTCGGCGCTCACCGGAAATTCTCGGCCGTCTTGGGAACGACGTCGGCAAACAGCTCCACCTTGAGCCTGCCCACATCCTGCACCACCACAACCACAACAACAACAACCACAACAACAACAACCACAACAACAACATCAACCACAACAACATCAACCACAACAACAACATCAACCACAACAACAACAACAACCACAACAACAACCACAACAACAACAACCACAACAACCACAACCACAACAACAACATCAACCACAACAACAACAACCACAACAACAACCACAACAACAACAACCACAACAACAACATCAACCACAACAACAACAACAACCACAACAACATCAACCACAACAACAAACAACAACCACAACAAAAACAACAAATACCACATAAAAAACCACAACAACAACAACAACCACAACAAACAACAACCACAACAACAACAACTACAACAACAACAACAACAACATCAACCACAACAACAACAACCACAACAACAACCACATAACCACCACAACAACAACAACCACAACAACAACCACAAAAACAAAAACAACCACCACAACAACCACATCAACAACAACATCGACAACAACAACCACAACAACAACAACCACAACAACAACCACAAAAACAACAACAACCACAACATCAACAACCACAACAACAACCACAACAACCACATCAACAACAACATCAACAACAACAACCACATCAACAACAACATCAACACAACAACAACCACAACAACAACACCACAACAACATAACCACATCAAACAGCTCCACCTTGAGCCTGCCACATCCTGCATCATCACAACAACAACCACAACCACAACAACAACCACAACAAACAACAAAAACCACAACAACAACAACCACAACAACAACCACATCACCACCACAACAACAAAACCACAACGACAACCACAACAACAACAACCACAAAAACACCACAACAACCACAAAAACAACAACCACAACAACACAACCACAAACAAAACCACAAGATCAACCACAATCAAACAGCTCCACCTTGAGCCTGCCCACATCCTCCATCACCACAACAACAACAACCACATCAACAACAACCACAACAACAACCACAACATCATCAACCACCACAACAACAACCACCACAACATCAACCACAACAACATCAACCACAACAACAACAACCACCACAACAACAACCACAACAACAACCATCACAACATCAACCACAACAACAACAACCACCACAACATCAACCACAACAACATCAACCACAACAACAACAACCACCACAACATCAACCACAACACATCAACCACAACAACATCAATCACAACAACAACAACCACAACAACATCAACCACAACAACAACAACCACCAACAACATCAACCACAACAACATCAACCCCACAACAACAAACAGCTCCACCTTGAGCCTGCCCACATCCTGCACCACTACAACAACAACCACAACATCACAACAACAATCAACAACAACCACAACAACATCAACAACCACAACATCAACCACAACAACAACATGAAACAGCTCCACCTTGAGCCTGCCCACATCCTGCATCACACAACAACAACAACCACAACAACATCAACAACCACAACATCAACCACAATAACAACAACCACCACAACAACAACCACCACAACAACAACAAACATCAACCACCACAACATTAACCACAACAACCACAACAACCATTAACCACAACAACCACAACAACATTAACCACAACAACCACAGCATCAACAACCATAACAACACAAACATCAACCACAACAACATTAACCACAATAACAACAACCACCACCACAACAACCACAACCACATCAACCACCACCACAACAACAACCACAACATCAACCACCACACACCCACAACAACCACAACATCAACCACACCACAACAACCACAACAACCACCACCACAACAACAACCACAACATCAACCACAACAACATTAACCACAACAACATTAACCACAACAACCACAACAACATTAACCACAACAACATTAACCACAACAACATTAACCACAACAACCACAACATCAACCACAACAACATAAACCACAACAATCACAACAAACCACAACAACATAAATAACAACAACCACAACAACAACCACAACAACATAAACCACAACAATCACAACAACCACAACAACATAAACAACAACAACCACAACAACATAAACCACAACAATCACAACATAAACCACAACAACAACAAACACAACAACATAAACCACAACAATCACAACATAAACCACAACAACAACAAACCACAACAACCACAACATCAACAAACACAACAACCACAACATCTCCCAACAACAATCACCACAACAACATAAAACACATTCACAACCACTACAACCACCATATCAACAACCATTTACAAGTGAATGAGTGAATGAGTTAATGAATGAATGAATGAGTGAATGAGTTAGTGAATGAATGAGTTAGTGAATGATTGAGTGAGTGAACGAGTTAGTGAATGGTTGAATTAGTTAGTGAATGAGTGAATGAATGAGTAGTGAATGAGTTAGTGAATGAGTGAATGAATGAGTTAGTGAATGATTGAGTTAGTGAATGAGTGAATGATTGGTGAGTGAATGGGTGAATGAATGAGTTAGTGAATGAGTGAATGATTGAATGAGTGAATGGGTGAGTGAATGAGTGAATTAATGAGTTAGTGAATGAGTGAATGAGTGAGTGTATGAGTTAGTGATGATTAGTGAGTGATTGAGTTAGTGAATGAATGAGTGAATGAGTTAGCGAACGAATGAGTGTATGAGTGAATGAATGACTTAGTGAATGAACGAGTTAGTGAACGAGTTAGTGAATGAGTGAATGAATGAGTTAGTGAATGAGTGAATGAATGAGTTAGTGAATGGGTTAGTGTATGATTGAGTGTGTGAGTTAGTGTATGAGTGTGTGCGAGTGATTGAGTTAGTGAATGAATGAGTTAGTGAATGAGTGAATGAATGAGTTAGTGAATGAGTGAATGAGTGCGTGTATGAGTGAATGAGTGAGTGTATGAGCTAGTGAATGAGTGAATGAGTTAGTGAATGAATAAGTTAGTGAATGAATGAGTGAATGAGTGAGTGTATGAGTTAGTGAATGAGTTAGTGAGTGATTGAGTTAGTGAATGAATGAGTGAATGAGTTAGTGAATGCGTGTATGAGTGAATGAATGAGTTAGTGAATGAATGAGTGTATGAGTGAATGAGTTAGTGTATGAGTTAGTGTATGAGTGAGTGTGAGTGACTGAGTTAGTGAATGAGTTAATGAATGAATGAGTGAGTGTATGAGTGAATGAGTTAGTGAATGAGTTAGTGTATGAGTTAGTGTATGAGTGAGTGTGTGAGTGATTGAGTCAGTCAATGAGTGAATGAATGAGTTAAGTTAGTGTATGAGTGTGTTATGAATGAGTGAATGAGTTAGTGTATGAGTGAATGAGTGAGTGAATGAGTGAATGAGTGAATGAGTGTATGAGTGAATGAATGAGTGTGTTTTAGTGAATGAATGAGTGTATGAGTGAATTAATGAGTTAGTGAATGAGTGAATGATTGAGTGAGTCAATGAATGAGTTATTGAATGAGTTAGTGAATGAGTGAATGCATGAGTTAGTGAATGAGTGTATGAGTGAATGAATGAGTTAGTGAATGAGTTAGTGAATGAGTGTATGAGTGATTGAGTGAGTGTATGAGTTAGTGAATGAATGAGTGAATGAGTCACTGAATGAGTGAATGAGTTAGTGAATGAGTTAGTGAATGAGTTAGTGAATGAATGAGTGTATGAGTTAGTGAATGAGTTAGTGAGTGATTGAGTTAGTGAATGAATGAGTGAATGAGTTAGTGAATGAATGAGTGTATGAGTGAATGAATGAGTTAGTGAATGAATGAGTGTATGAGTGAATGAGTTAGTGTATGAGTTAGTGTATGAGTGAGTGTGTGAGTGATTGAGTTAGTGAATGAGTGAATGAATGAGTGAGTGAATGAGTGAGTGTGTGAGTGATTGAGTCAGTGAATGAGTGAATGAATGAGTTAGTGTATGAGTGTGTGAGTTATGAATGAGTGAATGAGTTAGTGTATGAGTGAATGAGTGACTGAATGAGTGAATGAGTGTATGAGTGAATGAATGTGTGTTAGTGAATGAATGAGTGTATGAGTGAATGAATGAGTTAGTGAATGAGTGAATAATTGAGTGAGTCAACGAATGAGTTATTGAATGAGTTGGTGAATGAGTGAATGAATGAGTTAGTGAATGAGTGTATGAGTGAATGAATGCGTCAGTGAATGAGTTAGTGAATGAGTGAATGAATAAGTTAGTGAATGAGTGTATGAGTGAATGAGTGAGTGAGTGTATGAGTTAATGAATGAGTGAATGAGTCAGTGAATGAGTGAATGAATGAGTTAGTGAATGAGTTATTGTATGAATGAGTGAATGAGTGAGTGTATGATTTAGTGAATGAGTTAGTGAGTGATTGAGTTAGTGAATGAATGAGTGAATGAGTTGGTGAATTAATGAGTGTATGAGTGAATGAATGAATTATTAAATGAGTGAGTGAATGAATGAGTGTATGAGTTAGTGTATGAGTTAGTGTATGAGTGAGTGTGTGAGTGATTGAGTTAGTGAATGAGTGAATGAATGAGTTAGTGTATGAGTGTGTGAGTTATGAATGAGTGAATGAATGAGTGAATGAATGTGTGAATTAGTGAATGAATGAGTGAATGAATGAGTTAGTGAATGAGTTAGTGAATGAATGAGTGAGTGTATGAGTGAGTGTATGAGTGAGTGAATGAGTGAATGAATGAGTGAATGCGTTAATTAATGAATGAGTGAATGAGTTAGTGAATGAATGAGTTAGTGAATGATTGAGTGAGTGAATGAGTTAGTGAATTATTGAATGAGTTAATGAATTAGTGAATGAATGAGTTAGTGAATGAGTTAGTGAATGAGTAAATGAACGAGTTAGTGAATGATTGAGTTAGTGAATGAGTGAATGATTGAGTGAGTGAATGGGTGAACGAATGAGTTAGTGAGTGAATGAATGAGTGAATGAATGAGTTGGTGAATGAATTTGTGTATGAGTGTATGAGTGAATGAATGAGTTAGTGATGAGTTAGTGAACGATGGAGTGAATGAGTGAGGAATGAGTTAGTGAAGGAATGAGTTAGTGATGAATGAGTGTATGGGTGAGTGTATGAGTGAGTGAATGAGTTAGTGAATGAATGAGTGAATGAGTTAGTGAATGAATTAGTGTATGAGTGAGTGTATGAGTTAGTGTATGAGTGTGTGAGTTAGTGAATGAGTGAGTGAATGAGTTAGTGAATGAACGAGTGTATGAGTGAATGAATGAGTTAGTGAATGAGTGAGTGAATGGGTGAATGAATGAGTTAGTGAGTGATTGAGTTAGTGAATGAATGAGTGTATGAGTGAATGAATGAGTTAGTGAATGAGTGAATGAGTGAATGAATTAGTGTGTTAGTGAATGAATGAGTGTATGAGTGAATGAATGAGTTAGTGAATGAGTGAATGAATGAGTTAGTGAATGAGTGTATGAGTGAATGAATGCGTCAGTGAATAAGTTAGTGAATGAGTGAATGAATAAGTTAGTGAATGAGTGAGTGTATGAGTGAATGAGTGAGTGAGTGTATGAGTTAATGAATGAATGAGTCAGTGAATGAGTGAATGAATGAGTTAGTGAATGAGATTGTATGAATGAGTGAATGAGTGAGTGTATGATTAGTGAATGAGTTAGTGAGTGATTGAGTTAGTGAATGAATGAGTGAATGAGTGAATGAATGAGTGTATGATGGTGAATGAATGAATTATTGAATGAGTGAATGAATGAGTGTATGAGGAATGAGTTAGTGTATGAGTTAGTGTATGAGTGAGTGTGTGAGTGATTGAGTTAGGTGAATGAGTGAATGAATGAGTTAGTGTATGAGTGTGTGAGTTATGAATGAGTGAATGAGTGAGTGAATGAGTGAATGAATGTGTGAATTAGTGAATGAATGAGTGTATGAGTGAATGAATGAATGAGTTAGTGAATGCGTTAGTGAATGAGCGAATGATTGAGTGAGTGAAGGGTGAATGAATGAGTGTATGAGTGAATGAATGAGTTAGTGAGTGAATGAGTGAAGGGTGAATGAATGAGTTATTGAATGAGTTAGTGAATGAATGATGAGTTAGTGAATGAGTGAATGAATGAGTGTATGAGTGAATGAACGAGTTAGTGAATGAGTTAGTGAACGATGGAGCGAATGAGTGAAGGAATGAGTTAGTGAGTTAGTGAATGAATGAGTGTATGAGTGAGTGTATGAGTGAGTGTATGAGTGAGTGAATGCGTTAATTAATGAATGAGTGAATGAGTTAGTGAATGAATGAGTTAGTGAATGATTGAGTGAGTGAGTTAGTGAATGATTGAATGAGTTAATGAATTAGTGAATGAATGAGTTAGTGAATGAGTTAGTGAATGAGTGAATGAACGAGTTAGTGAATGATTGAGTTAGTGAATGAGTGAATGATTGAGTGAGTGAATGGGTGAACGAATGAGTTAGTGAGTGAATGGGTGAATGAATGAGTGAATGAATGAGTTAGTGAATGAATTAGTGTATGAGTGTATGAGTGAATGAATGAGTTAGTGAATGAGTTAGTGAACGATGGAGTGAATGAGTGAAGAATGAGTTAGTGAAAGGAATGAGTTAGTGAATTTTTATGAATAAGTGTAGAGTGTGAGTGTATGAGTGAGTGAATGAGTGAATGAGTTAGTGAATGAATGAGTGAATGAGTTAGTGAATGAAT